GCTGGAAGTGTCAGAAAGAAGCTGGGACTTTAGTTCATATGCTGTATGCATGTGAAAAAAATGTCCACATGTGCGATGGGATCATTAACCTTTTGAAAGGTCCTTTTCAATTTGATCTCTCGAAGTCTCCGGCTTTGTGTGTCCTGAGTCTGTTACCAGATAGCATGAATCTATCTGGAAGACAGAAGCTGTGGGTGCGTCTGGCCGCCATAACAAGGTGCAGGATAATAATGGGACACTGGACGTCATCTAACTCTTGCTGCTTTAAGGAATGGACTGAAAAAAATGGCTATATATGAACAGGTAACTTAGAGGAGAGAAGATATCTTTGATCAGGTCTGGGGTCCCTTCTTGCACTACATAGAGGATAGGTCTGTTTAGACAGATATTGTGATATGTATTTTGTATTGGATGTAAACGTTTAGTATACCCAGAGGTCAAGCTCAAGCTAAGTTTATAAACACTCTGTTTTTACTTTTTTAAATGTTTGTTTGTTTGTGATTTTGTTTTCACTTTTGTGCGTTATGGTTTTTTAAGTACTGTTCAAAAAACAGGACAGAGACGTGACTGTATGGGGATAACTATTCCTGTAGTCAATGTTTTTCTGTTCTGCTGTCAGACAAAAACATGAACAAAAAAAAAGAAAAATAATTTATTTAGAATTTAGATTGAAAAAATATCATGTCACATCTGGCCTTTGACCTTTTCTCAAAGGCCGGTAGATTAATCTGACGGTTAGTGACAACAATGCTACATAAAGCTTTCTAAAACTATGTTTAGCACTGCCATTGCTTGTATTGACAATATATAGACAAATAGAGAGTGATATATAGGGATTATAAATATAATATTCCTTTGACCTTTGACCTCTTCTTCAAGGTCAAATAAGGTCAAATGTTGAGAGAATGTCTTTTTTATATTTAAAACTTTGCTTTGAATTCTGCTGCCGTTGTTTGTATTGGCAAGACTTTGGAAACGATACTACTAAATGATATGTCTAAATATCCCACTATGTAGTTGGCATCCAAAGATCATGCCACACACTTGACCTCTAATTTCAAGTCTTCCTTTCTTTCAGGTTGTCATTAGAAAAAATGTGTTAAAGAAGAGAAATAAGAGAAACAGAATGAACTGCCTAGTTAGTTAGAAATATACTGCAGTATAATATTATATAGTAAACTCAAGTTATTCATACCCGATTATTTATAAATTAGAACCTAGTGTCATCCATTACCTACTCCTTTATAAACTGAACATTTGTCATGTTACCCGTATCTGATATTAACTGCATCACAAACTTCTTAAAGTACACTTAAAAAGAACAAAGAAAACAACATGAATATGTACAAAATACAAAATGATTCGCATAAAAGTAAATACAGCAACACATTACAGTGCTGTGTCGTTAGTTATTTAACAAACGTGAGCTAAAATGCGGTAGCAGTGTGTGGAAAAACAAAGCACACCCTTACAGCTTCCATAGGAATTAAAAGGGTAAGTACCAACCAGGTGCTGATAATCAAATGCAGTTGCTTAACTGATCATCAGCGAGTGTGAGCACCTCTATAAAAGCAGGAGTTCTGGCAGTTGTTTGCTGCTCTGTAGCTTTCACATGTGTGTTAACACAATATCGTATCAATATCTTCCAAACATCAGACTGCAATGCTCAGAAAAACTGTCAAAAAAAGACACCCCCCCCCCCCAAAAAAAAACAAAACAAAACAAAACAAAAAAACAAAAAACAAAAACAAAGGTTATCTCTCAGACTCTACAGGCCTTAGTTAGCATGTTAAATGTTAAAGCTGATGACAGTATAATTAGGAACAGAGTGAAAAGGTGTGACTTGTTTATAAAACGAACAAACACCGTTTAGGTTTGCAAAGCTGCATCTGAACAAATCCTTTGGACTGACGAGACCAAAGTGGGGATGACTGGCTATAATGCACAGCGCCATATTTGGAGAAAACCAAACACAGCATATCAGCTCAAACACCTCATTACAAACTGCTCAGTTATTGCTGCTGAAGGTTATTCTACAAGCTATTGAATCATGAAGTATACGTTCCCCACTCTGCCGCTGGATTAGGTTTTGTTAAATAGAATAACACACATGCTGTTGTTCATCTGACGTTGTATTTACCTAATTTTAAGACCTGGTAAGGTCAAGATAATTTATTATGTCTTGAATCATATACAAACTTTAGAATCAACAAAGAGTTTAACTTGCTTTAACCTCCTAAGACCCAAACTTGTTTGTTAAAACTGAAATGACCATTTGCAGAAATTCAATTAACTGTCAGCTCACTAATAATTAACAGTGATTTTTATACCAAAGTGATATGAGCTTTTTCCCAATTGGACCAACAAACAAAAGAAAAACAAAACGATCTGTGTCTCGTGCTCAATTGGGGCACCCGATTATTCCATCCGAGCAGGGCAGGCCACCTATGAAAGAGGCAGGGAAAATATGGGACAGTGCTTTTCTATTATAATGTGAAAGAAGTTGTTTACCATGATGACGTACTGAGGGAGTGCCAGTTTGCACAAGCATCAGCAGAGCGGCTATTCTCTGTGATATTTCTCAGAACAATAGGACTGCTTCTTGACATTTAAATAGAGCTTTGTTTGTACGCATACAAACACATCAAATATATTCCGTCCTTCATTACAAAATCTTCATCACTACATTCGGTAGTCCTACTAAGGTGTCTGTTTATGATGTGTTTGTGCTTATAGAGTGGATGGAAACTGTTCATCTGTGAGTGGGGGGTATTTTTATTTCCCTTTCCAGTTGTTGCTGTTTGCCATGTCCTGTACTTCCTTTCCAAAGGTTTTGGTCTCATGAGTTTTGATTTCTGCTGCATCAGCAGTTCACGCTGGTGGTGCCATAAGGATAGCTTCTTGGCAAATTAACACTAATTGAGAACTGTTTAAACTTCACGGCCTAACCTGAGTATTGTTGCTGACCGTGTCCACCCATTTATGGCCACAGCGTACCCAAACTTCTGATGGCTGCTAACACACAACGTAACAAAGTTTAAATCACCTCAAACTGGTTTCTGTATATGAAAGCATAATAATTTTACTTTAAATAAATGGAAAGTTAGTACTCAGCAAGGTGACTGCTCCTGAGACTTTGGCCTCATGTTGCTTACACTGTGACTTTTGTTTTACTTGAAAATCACACAAGCTAATAAAAAAAAGATCAAAGAGGGTCAAAAACCACTCACTCAAAATTGTTAAAGAAAGAAGAACAGATCAAAAACACTAGAAAAATGTTGAGTTAAGGCGCAGCAGACGTGAAGACTAAATAAATCTTGGTAGCCTATTGGATGACCTCATATTTCACTTGGAAAACCTGTAATTTCTTTCCTAAGCATCTCATCTCAATATTTTAATGTGACCAGGAGGATTCTAATGTGCCCCAAGCTAAACGTTTTACTGAAACCATTTTCTAATGTTCAATATTCTTCTGACTCACAGGGTCCAGATCCTGTGAAAAGATTTCATAACTAGGTGTCATCTGCATGGTTTTCATGATGTTGCTTATTCCTTATGCACACCCACTCAAAAAACACACACATACACACACCCTGGGTTGCATTATGTAACAGGCACAAACAGCCTGCATATTAATCATGTGTCAAATAGGTGTCATTAAGAAAAAAGAAAGAAATGGCACAAACATGAGTCATGGTGACATATTTTATACTGATTCACCAGTTAGCCAAAGTGACAGAAGAGAAGAAAAAGTGCATTTTCTTAAAAAAAATAAAATAAAAATACAAAAAAAATATCACAGGACAAGAAGACAAAGGTGAATTTTCCTGAGAAACTGTCACATCAATCTCACAAGCTTTCCCATTGGACTCTGTCAAATAAATACTGCTCTCCCGAGCAACGCAGCTAACAGTCGCCTTGAGTGACTAAAACAGAAAAGCCTACATTTGAATTTGTACATGCAGTGTAGACAGACACAACCTACAGACCAGGTATGTTACCTGGATCGATCAGTTCTGTGATTCTGCCCATAAAAAGCAAATTGCTCCTCTCTGCAAACGTGCCAAAACCACTCTCTTCCAATTTGAATTTAGTTTTGGCGCATAAGCAGGAAGCCAAATGAAGCAAGTAGAAGGGTTGTGAATTAACTTTGTCAGGATGGATAAAAATTTGAATTTTACTGCACTGACAGAGAGCAAACAATAGTTGCTGTGTTTGAGGAGGCCATTTCCAACTAATCAGATGGCTCAGGACTTTAAACTCTAACTTGTAAATGACAAAGAAAACTGAAAATGGTTGCTTGTTTTCCAGGTCCCAGACAGAGATACAGGTCTCCTTAACAGTTATGACTCATAGGTCAGTCTAGTGAGTCCATGGTGTAGTGGCTAGCACATTCATCTTATGTGCAAAAGATCACTAAATGAACTCCAGGAGGAGACACAAACCCAGCCTCAGGTGGTCCAAAGCTACTGTAGTCCTGGTACTGCTCCCAAGGCAAGATATATGCTAGAGTTGCACCAAGCTCACATAATATCTGTGCTACATTAAAACCTGCAGATTCATCAACTTGGAAAATACCAAAGGAACTGAAAGTACTTTCTTAGTCATTTTGACACGAAAGTCGATTTTACCAGGAGCACAGGTTTAAGTGGTCAGAATGAGACTTCCAGGGATCGATTCAAACGTAGCAATGGTGCTTCGGAAAAGGACTGCAAATTTGAGTTTAGCTATATTAAAATCAGCTGAGGATCTTGCTTTTTAACGAGCAAAGCCGAGAAACCAATGAAGTATTTTTGTCCAGAGCAACCCAAATTTTCCTTTTTCATAAACCATCCCTTAGTTAAGCTGTGATAAACCTAAGCTCCAGGGGGCTTCCCGTGATACACTACTTTGACCTTTTAGCTCTATGCCATTAGTGTCTTTTGTCCTGTTTCCCACTCACCCACAACCAGTTAAAGCTGGCTGCCCCTCCCTGAGCCTGGTTCTGCTGGAGGTTTTGTCCTGTTAAAACGGAGTTTTTCCCTCCCACTTTTGCAAAGTGCTTGCTTATATGGGGTCGTCGGATTGCTGGACTTTATATTGACTTTACTATTTAAAGCACCTTAAGGTGACAGCTTTTGGGATTTAGCATTGTATAAATGAAACTGAACTGAATTGTTTAAGGAAACAGAGATCTTCATGGTTACACATGAAAAAATACATTTTTTTTTTTTGTATGTTTTCAATATGCCCTTTATGTAACTGCAGGACACTTTCCAGAGCCTACAAAAACATTTACTATTACACGACTGTCTGCTCACGCCAGAGGAAACAAATATGGTTGCTGAAAATAATTAGCCAAATCTCAGATCTAGAAGCATTCTGAATTGGTTCCCACAGAGTGGGGAAATACTACACGGTGTGTGGGCTGGTCATGAATGTGACCAGTTCTTTTACTTAATCTGTAACCCCAAATAAAAATGAACATGTAACAAAGCACAACCAGCTCAGAAAGCAACAGTTACTAGCAAGCTAGTTAACGAGCCTTGCTAATGTTTACAGCTATGTTTAATCACTTCTTCTTTTTTAATATCGGAAATTGTCCTGAAAAACAAAACAAAAACAGAAAACATATCAAATTAATTCTGACAGATTTTGCCAAGTCTGGTATGTGAACAGTTGCTTGAAATATTTAGGAATCACTCTTTACCAAATGAGGAAATTAGCCTCTGACACAGCATGCGTCCTGCACAGCTGTTAGTCCGAATCACTCCTGCCTTCATCCTCAGCCTGTAAGAACACGGCTGATGTTCATCGCCCTGGACGTGCAAGGCAATACAGACGCGGCAAAGTCTCTCTCTTCACTGGAAGACTTCCTTTGGTCTCGGAGGTGTCCAGCCAGTAATGCTTATGCACCTCAGGTTGCCTGCTTGTCTGGGTGACTCTTTAACTTGTGGAATTTGACACTGTCCAGCTTCTCGAACCTCTTGTCACAGAACTCACAGGTGAAGTTGTAGTGGGCCTCTGGAGTGTGTTTCTTCATGTGCCAGTTCAGGGATGCGCGCTGGCGACACTGGTAGCCACAGATTTCACATCTGACAGATGATGACGATGACGTGGGTGACAAGATGTATGTGAGAATGTTAATATTTGGGGCCATGTAATAAATTTAGCTCCCAGAGAGACTAGTGACTCAACAATTGCTCCACATTTTAATTGCAATATAAAGCAACAGTGATCTGAACTTCTCAGTGTTTAATTACTAAAAAGAGTAACAATAGGATCTGTTTGAAGCATTAGTAACTTACTGGAGTGGTGTTTCTCCTGTGTGCGTCCGCCTGTGAACCTCCAGGTGATTTTTGCGTTTAAATGACTTTCCACAAGTCTCACAGATAAAATCTCTAACGCCTGTAGGAAGATTCATGTTTACATTTGGAAGTATATACGGATAACACGCAGGCAATACACAGGGGTGTCTTTTGCGAACTCACCAGAATGGATGATCATGTGGCGATGCAGATGGTTCGACAGGTAGAATTTCTTTCCACAGCCAGGGTGGGGGCAAACCTTTGTCCTTCCTTTCCTGTGAACTAGGTTCACGTGATTCTACAGAGAGCAGACATTTAGATCTCGCGTGTGGAAACAGAAAAAGCTCAAATGCAGAGCACGGCTAATTAACTTTACCTGAAAGCTGCTAATTGCTACATAGACTTGACTGCAACCCTCGTACGGACAGTGGAACATCTTGAGCATCCCATCAGCCTCGATCACCGGGCCTCGTCTGCTTCTCTTTGACCTGACATTGCAAAAAGGGGCACAGTGGACTGAGCGGCACACTAAGGAGACCAACTTAAAACAGTGACCTGATGACAATGGCATTCTCTATTTGCTTTTAAGATGATGTTGAGTACGTGAGTCTCAAACCTGCTCAGACTCCTCTGCAGCTGTCTGTCACTGCCCAGCTCCAAAGTGTCAACACTGGGCTGCAGCAGTTGTTTGTCAGTCATACCTGCAGGGAAACGACAAGTAAATTCTTTTAGAGAAAACATAAAGACTCCCATTAGTCAAATCTGAGTGCTGGGAAGAAAATTCAAATCATTTAAGTCAATATCCAAAGTGTAAAGAAAACAAAATGCAAATCAGTGCACATTACACTCAGCTACTCTTTCTTGGTATTAGGTGTTGGCTGGATTTAGTCAGAAACTATCAGACTAGTGCTGCATGTTGCAGGAGAGCAAAAGGGATTCACACAGGTAATCTAGAACTTCCTGTTTTACAAAGTTCATGCCCACTGCGAGCAGTGGCGCTAAAATGCATGTGATTTAGACATATATACACTGGCATGAATTTATATAAATTTATATAAACATAATCAAATATATGCTTATATAACTTGAATTGACACATCTCAGTAGCACGAACATATCATAACATTCAAGTTCTGTGTTTTATTCACATGGAAATCAATGGACGGGATGTTTACATGAAACAGGTATGATTCAAATCTATGTAAATATACTTCTCTGGAGTTTGCTGACACTAAATAAACCCAAAACAAAAAGAGGCACTTTATTGCATGTCCAGTGATGTCAGTTATGGACATGTGACAGTCTCTCACAGAGTCAGCCAGCAGACTTAGTGAAGCCGATTACTGTAAGCATCTTTTAAAAGTGGAAATCATTCCCAGAATGGATGTGCTTCCTATTAGAACCTAAACTTTCACAAAATGCTTACAGTTTTCAAGATGCGCACAGTTGAATATTTTAATATTTAATTGCTGTGTTTTTATTAGGAACTTACAACAACTTACAACTTCAAAACTTCTTCAGAGCTTTTATGCTCATTTTTTAGCAACAAATGTTACATTTCAAACATAAAACATCAGATAATTTTAATTATGCTTTATTTATTACAATAAGACTGAACACTTTGAGTATCAAATGATCATCAAAAGACTGACAGATATAGGAACATTTCATCTCAAAGTCCAGAAATTTCGAGTTCCAAAGTAGCGCACCTGTCATGGAGTCCTCATCCTCTGCTGTTCTGATTTTCGAGTCAGCCGTGCACACCTGGTTGTAGGTGACGCCCCCAATGACGGTGCAGGTGACTTCCTCCACATTTCCGCCTCCCATGTTGAGTTGGATTCCCTCGGATGCCAGGGCTTCGTAGCTGGGGCCAGTGATGATAATTAACTAGGAACGATGGGAAATGTAGTTTATGAAAAAGAGTAACACACTCCTCCTGCAGTCTTATTTCTGTGAGATACTTGTTTACCTACCTGTGAGCCCTCCAAAGCCGTCCTCTGGTCAGGAATCTCACAGCCGGTCACCACCGTTTGCAGAGTCTGAGGCTCAAACAGTTCGCTCTGCTCTTGGACCTGCATGGTCGGTGGGACTGACAGTTCTGTCTGAGCACTCAGGCGCACTGAGCCACTCAGGCTCTGCGACAGCACCAAGTCCTCATCAGACTTGTCAAGTTCATCAGCTAAGGATGCCGTCATAACGCACTCGTAATCGTGCCTAACAGTCCTGACTTCCTCTTCTGTGAGGCGTTCTTCTTCCCCTCCATCCTTACCTTGCCTCAGATCTTCAGTCTCCTCTTCCTCTGTGGGGACGGAGTGAAAAGCCGCTGTGAGGGAGCCTTGCTGTCGCACCATCTCCACTTCCCAGATAGGCTGCCCTGTCAGCGGAGCATCCTTGGAAGAGGCCAGTACGCTGGCTTCAGGGGTTGGAACTACAACCTCTTCTACCTGGCTTACAGCTTCCTGATGTTCCTCAGAAACATCCACATTTTCTCCCACGTCTACAAAAAGAAAATGCTTAATAAAAGGGCAAGTTGGTCATTAAGAAATGTAGGATTTACTGAAGTCTACACAACAAAACAAACACTTACAGTACGATTCTACACACCTTTCAACTGTCTGTGAGCCTCCTTCCTTCTCTTCCGGCTTACTATGTTTTTTGCTACAGACACGTCTGTTTTGACTGCACACTCTCCATCGCTGTCCCTGTTCACTCCCTCCTCATGCTCAGAGTCACTTGCCTCCCCCAGAGGTGAGAAAAGGTATTGCACAAACGAGTGGTTGCCTTCACATTGCCAGACTGCAGTGGTGGAGAAGTTGGACTGGGTCTCTAGAGCTCTAAGCTGGGGCTCGTGTGGGCAAGAGTGCGAGTGCTGCTGGTACCAACACACCAGGCTCTGGAGGCTGGACACACGTTGCTTCCTGCCTGAGCGTATATGCCGGGGTGCAGGGTGGGGGGCATATGAGATGGATGATGAATGGCAGATTAATTTTTGTTGGATAAACAGTTTATAGAATGAGATTAACCACATATCAACTAAGACTCAACACGTGCAGTAATAGCGTACATGAAAGTTGATTCCTTAGCAAAGAAGAATAAATGTTGAGTCAGTGTAAACATCCATAAAGCAAAAAGATTTAAATTTGGTCACAGTTGGCTTCAAGGTGACCTTTCTTTTTGCAGAAATGCTGCCTATTTTAGATCACTCCATGGAAGTCCTGGTCTAACATAACTCTTGCACTAGATCTCCTCCACTGAAGCAATGCTTCAAGTACAAGTTCACTTTGGTGAAGCAGGGATGCAAATGAGGCAAGTACTGCAGGTAGTGAAGAACAATATTGCCCTAAGCAGCATGATGGCACAACAAGTGCCAAAGTGCCACAGATCAGGATATTTATTGAAGGATTTCTCCATGCAGCACCACAGAAATGAACATGCTCCTGGTTGCACTCAGGCTTTGACATGGAAGACATCTTCCAATGTTTGAAAGTGTCTTCTGAGTTGCAGACTTGGCTCTAATGACTGGTGAACGTCTGATCAGTCTGACACAGATATGACTGTTTGCTCTATGCCACAGGTTTGAAGTAGATGGATAATTTGAAGATGGAGGGTGCAAGCGTGCAGAACAAGACACCTACGGTGTGATCTAAGAATAGTAGCAGCACTAAAAGAGGTGCACAAAGAGATCAATCCCCTTGAAAAGGAGACCAGCCGAAATTTAAAGAAGTTCTAGTTGTTTGACTGCTTTGATTACATTTCACATACAATTATGTAATTAATACTATTTTTATTTTTTCATTTTTCATAACATGTTGATAATGTTGAAAACTTGATTTTTAGTTATAAAACATTAGAAAATGCAGTAACATTTGCATTCACACTTAAACAATATGAGAAACATTTCATGCATATCCGCTTTAGGATAGGGATTTGTGTTGGGATGTGGCACTGTACTCACGTTTTATGTTGAATAAGTAAATAAATACTCACACACTGCTTAAAAAATAATGACAAATGTGTAATACAATACTCATTTTAAGTTATAACCTCAAAACTGTTCTTCTGGATCTTTGTGAAATTTTGGATCTTTATTGTCTGTGTATTTAACTTGATGCAAGCACTTTTGTCTAGAAAACATTTAGGCAAGCTCCAGTTTGATACACCAAATAACTGAGCCGCTTTAAACAGACTTCATTCCCAACCTCAAACCCTACGTGCTTAATTTGGAAATATTTCCATGTAATAATGGCTCCACACACCTCTTTTCTGTTTTGCCGAGACTTCTGGGGCAATCTTCTTCCTGCAACACAGAAACACATCATTTGGAAAAAAACAGATTAGTCACAACAAACAAACAGTACTTATCTAAAGTTGAACTATTGTGCTTTTGCTTGCTTTTTATCATACTGTTACAATGGTAGGTACTCGTATTAAATATGATGTTACAAATTGCAACATTTATTTCAAACCTTCCGTTTGCTATATGCAGCAAATCAGGAAAGAGTTGGCTTAAGGGGAGGGGGAGTGAGAATGAACAGTGAACTAGGACATAAACAAAGATTATTTTTGAACAGTGAATTATGAAAATATACCCTCGTGTAGTCCAGTTATAACAGTAAGTGCCCTTTAAGATTAAAACTAGCACAAATGTGAAGAGCAATGTCTGACAGAAGAAAACAGCTAGTCAATATACCACTCTGATTAGATAACGTGTCTGCAGCACATTCCTACCCGCAGTATTTCTGCTGGTATTTTTCTCCATAGGTGGAGTTGAGTAGGATGAGATATTCTGCCAGCCCGGCGTCGCTCAGACCGGTCCGCCTGCGGAGATCACTCCACAGCTTGTGCGACTCTCCGAGGTACACCCTCCTGACATCGTACTTCTTTCTGGATTCCAGCCGCCTCTGCGCTCGGTCGGAGTCTGTGAGCCTGGGTCGCCCCCTACAGCGCCTCAAAACACCCTTTCCTTGCTCGCCGGCTTGGTTTGTGTCCAGGGGAGCCTCCACTTCTGCCAGCTGATGCGCCATCTTGGCCATAACAGCTGATGCTTTGATTATCCGACATGCCGGAAGTTGTGTAAGGACTCGCAGGAAACACTGATATCAATGCATTTTGAGCTCGTCTTCCTCGCGCTATAGATTCATAAACTTTGCGTTGGCAATATCTAGTTTTTCCTTTTAAGCTAGGCGAAGACATCGGTGAAATGCTAATAGAAATATAAACCGTGTGGACCGAGCGGAACGTTACAATGGACACAATGCGTTGCATCCGGACTACAGTAGCACGAACACCATCGTGCACCATGTAAACAAACGCGGGAAGCTTGAGCCAGAGCATCATTTTTGGTTAGTAAAGCGTTGATTGTGGGATTGTGACACATGGCTGATATTTTGTCGCTCGTTTTTCGGACGTTTATGTCACAATCTGATTTAAAGAAGGACGTCAAAGTTATTACACCGTCACCAACGACCTGCAGCACCCTGGTGGTCGGAGACCACAGCCTCAGCCGCTCCGTGCTGCTTTTGGCTTCCGTCATAGCTGCCGCGGAGATGGGCATAAAAGTGATGTTCTTCACCCAGACTCAGATCCAGAGCCTTCCACCGTCTCTGCAGAGATGTGTTCCCAACCTGAGCCCAGAAAGTCTAAAGGTAGGGGTCGTTTTATGTTTAAACTGTGCCCAAATTCGCAAAAGCTTGTTTTTTTCACTACTCGTGATAAACAACATTTTAGTAGCCCAGGTGCCTTGTGTGTTAGTGTTTTGAGGGTTGTTGTCATGGAAGTTTTTTCATCTTCCAACATAGGTGCTTGCATTTTATTTAATTATTTAGTCATTTAGTTGCAGATCATCCAATCCGTGAATGCTATTTACGTTTTATGATATGAATATATAAACGTTACAGACATTTGTAAGTGTTTAAAATGACATTTGAGCAGACGTGATACCCCTCTTTTTTTAACTCCCGTTTTTATTGTTATCTGTTAACCTTTTTTGGGTCAGGGAAACAAATAAATATTATAAGAAATAACTGAGGTCTAGTTTAGGTTGAAAGTGGTTTAGGGTTGCAACACAGCAGAAAGACACCAGCCACTGCCATGGTTACAATTACTGTACGGCTCAATCAAAGCACATAATAATTTAATACACTTTTACAACCATGGATATGGTGCATAATTTTAACTGGTCACTGACTTGTTAATATCTGTTATATCAATATCTTTGATTGCAGTTAGAAAATTAGAAACTCACATGTAATCACAAGTAATTGAACAATTGAGCATTTATTACCACGTGTCACGTGGAGCTGGATAAAGCAAAAAACACTAGTATTATAATTGTGTTTTAAGCCTTTGTAGATGAAATGGAGCAGGTTATGATTATAATACAAAACAGGCAACAATGCCATAATAATTTGCTGATCAATTATTAAAATGTCAAAAAAATTATTGCCTGAAAAGTTACCCAGCAATTAAAACAAAAATGTAATTGTAGCCCCAGATTTAAAAAGTATTTTAGGTGTGATAAAATTAGGTGGTTAAATCAATAATCTACCATGATTTATTTAGCTTTTCATTTTTTGTGTGTTTATGTATTTATCATTATTATT